CTCCAAATTTTTTTCCAGAGTGGTTGTACTAGTTTACATTCCCACCAACAGTGTATGAGGGTTCCTTTTTCCCTGCATCCTCACCAACACCTGTTGCTAGTGGTGTTGCTAATGATGGCTATTCTAACAGGGGTGAGGTGGAATCTTAGTGTGGTTTTAATTTGCATAAAATAGCAATTTTTTAAAACTCATAACTCCATATGTCATACCAACTATTCAATACCAATAAAAAATCCAACAGCCCAAGCAAAAGACACCTTATAGGAAGACATCTTTACATGCTGAAACACTGCCCTCACAGCTAGCATTAATAAATTTAATGCTAATTAGCCACACTACTTTACATTCATCACTTTACTCAATCTTAACCACCAATATGAGATAAATGTCTTATTCCTATTTCACAGATAAAGAAACAGAGACTAAGTAACTTGCTCCAAATCAGTCACATAGCTAGGAGTCTAAAAGCTAAGCACTGAACTCAGGTGTAATTCAAGCTCTAATCATCTCAAAGAGTAAAGGTATATTCTGAAACATTATACAGTCTTTATGATATGCCGATAGGTTAAATTTATTTGAAAAGTCCTGTTTCATGGTACACTTGGTTTCTTAAAAAAAACAAGATAGTAAACTTGTGTCATTAAAGAGCACAGTTATACATGCATTAACCATATCACATTAAGAGACCTATGGTTTCCACTCAGCAAGGAGCAAGATTTTTACTATTTTATATGCAATCATTTCATATACCACAACACACAGTTTTACTATCTTTTAAACAGTCCCAAACTTATTGTCAGAATCAAGCCCAGTTTTAAATAAGCTCCATGTATTTAAACTAAGACCTAGTAAGGCAGACTTGACTCAAAAGTCTAGTAAAATATTTTAACAATTTGTTACTAAGGATAATGGAAAAACAATTAGCACTGACCCTTCCTGTTCACGTATTTCCATTTTCTGGGAGATTCAAATAGTGTGAGGACTCTTGGCCAAACTAGAAATTTGACCCACTCAATTATACTTCATAATCACATGGGGTCCCAGAGTTGCCACAAGTTCCACTAGAGAACTAGAGATAACTGGGGCCAATCTAGATGACTAAGAGCCCCTAAAAAGAGATATGAGTTTGGGAAAGAAAAATGAGGACTGAATGATGATCTATTTGCCATACATGGCATAAGTACTACAAATATGCCAGTTGTTTAATACATGTAACTACCCCATATAGTAAGTTTGTTTTTATCATCACTTTAGATGGACAATCTCTAGAGATTCAGCAAATTTGTTCAAGTTCAAACAGCGTTTAAATGGGAAGAGATGAGATTCAAACTTAGGTCTCCTCTGCATTCTCTACTCCTCTGTCTATTTCATGGACAGACACACATGAAGAACCCTGAAAGGAAATTGTACTGACCTCAGGAAACTTTGTACTAGTCAGACTAACTCAGAATCTAAAGGGCAAAATGTGTAAGTTTTAATCAGCTAGAGACAAACAGTCCATAAACTTGCTGGTCCTAGTTCCTGCTAATATTCAGAAAGCTGTTACACTCCTTTGTAGAATTATGAAGACCTCAAATATTCACCTACCCCATAATTTTTGTTGTTCAAATTAAGCTGCATAATGATCATAGAATAACTGTGAAACATTTTAATAGATTTCAGTTAAACATATAAAATTGGTTTAAAGGATCAAATCTCTACACTAAAATTATCACACAAAAATTGAAAAAAAATGCTAAAGCACAAAGCTTTCTGATAACAGGATGTTTTTCATATATTGATTACCTCTCTGCAGCACTAGCTATGTGAAAAATGTGCTCATCTTCATTCTGTAACCGTTCTTTTCTCCTTCTTTCAATGTCATGTCGTAGGTCATTTGGATCTATTATTTTGGCCAGAGTCTGAGGAATTTTGACAGAAAACAAACCATTCACATTACTGTTAGTTGCACAAAGACCATACCTAATAAGAACCTTAATTAAAAGTCCTAAATAAATTACTTTGTACTCATCTTGCTAATGGTAGTATAAAGTGATACAAATATTTTGAGACATAATTAACAATGCGGTCAGAAAAGTTCTTAACATTGAACCAGTAATTCCACTTTTGAGATTCTATACCAAAGAAAAGGCTGCCTAGGTGAGAATATTCAAAATAATGTATTTAAAAAAATGAAAAATGGAAATAATTTAAATGCAAAAAGAATTTAAACAGAAAGGGAAGAATGATTAAATGAATCTTGTTAAATAACTCAAAATAATAACGTACACCATTTAAATTAATAAATACTATGTGGAAGTCAATATAAAAAACTTTTTGAAAAAACTAATTTAAGGCTGGGTGCTGGTGGCTCACGCCTGCAATCCTAGCTACTCAAGAGGCAGAGATCAGGAGGATCACAATTCATAGCCAGCCAGGCAAACAGTTTGTGAGACCCTATCTCAAAAAACCCTTCACAAAAAAGGGCTGGTGGAGTGGCTCAAGGTGTAGGCCCTGAGTTCAAACCCCAGTACAGCAAAAACTTAAAAAGCTTCAATCATAGAAGGTCAGGGGAATTCAGAGCTTTGGCATGAAAGAACTGTTATTATGGATAAAGAAAAAGAAAAAAAGCATACAAAACTGCACATACTTCAATAGTGACTATGTTAAAATACAACACGTAAGACTGTAAAAAAAATGATCAAATGATATTTTGTATTAACTGGTTACATTATAGATGATTTTTTAAAGTCCTCAAATTTCCTGTAAGTTGAATGCAATACTCTAATGGTTAGAAATTTTCTGAAAATGTCACTTAATAAACTAACCTATCTCTACACGTATAATAAAACTTGTAATCATTTTTTTTTTCATTTTTCTTTTATTATTCATATGTGCATACAAGGCTTGGTTCATTTCTCCCCCCTGCCCCCACCCCCTCCCTTACCACCC